TTGCATAGGATATTGTGGTATGATTCCACTGTTATATTTGTCCAGTTTGCATGGAATTCATATGGAAACAACCCAGTATGGCTAAAACAGCATGTCTGGGTTGAAGATTAATTTTTTTATCACATAGTATTGCATCTTCTAAATACTTCTCATCAGCAGTATGGCTAATGTCAGTGGTTTTAATTATAAACCCTCCCTTAATCTCAAAGAAGTATTCTGGCCTCCAGAGCTCACCCCTGTCAAGTCCCACACATACTGAAATCCTCTTAGATGACCTCCATCTCACACGCACTCTGCAACTCACACGTTTTGAACACTACATCCTGGAGTTCATTCTGCATTACCCTCAAGCGCATGATGTAGCTGAGGAGCAGGAAAAGGGCTGGAGTGTTACAGACATAAGTGTGTGTTATTTAACAGCCTTGGGTTCACAGAAACCCAGCTAGAAAGGGGTTTGCAGCTAGCCCAAACCCAGCCCAGTGCTACACCAATTCAGTATCACCCAACCCAGTAAAGCACTTGGGCTGCCCATCATGTAACCCAGTGTGCCCCAAGCATCAGGTTGACTAAGGATGCAGTGTAGCTGCAGGGAGATCACTTAAACCCGGCATACAAACCACCAGCTTAAACCACCAATGACAATGACTCCTATTATCTTTATTTTTAAGCTCATGAAACCTCATCATGTGAGAAGTATGAGCCACCATGATGTTACCTAATAAAATGGACAGTACCTTTTTATTATTACTATAATTATTATTTTATTGCTGGGATTTACCTAAAAAAATTACTATTTTATGCTTTCACATTTTTCTCTTTTCCATTGAAATTTTTAGAACCTTGTAGATTTAAACATCTCTTATAAACTATTTTTTATCTTGAAATATACACAGTTCAGCTGTCAGTCAGAGGCAGTTGCTTGACAGTTCAAACATGTTATTACAGTCACTTGTGGGGAAAAATTATCTTTTAACTGACAACTGGTATTTTTAAGATATTTGAAATGAGAAAAAAATTAATTCTTTAGTCTCCAAGTTGGCACAATCCATTTATCAGATCTCACGTTCTGGTGAAAATTACGGGTATTTTCTCCTTGATGTATTGTATTGTAATGTATAAATAGTTTAGCAAAAAGTAGCTATCAAAATCCAAATTCGGTGTTTCACTGTAATTGAAAGATTAGCATATTCTCAGTAAGTGCAAGTGAGCTCCTACCTTTTACTCCTCCCTCAGAAACAAACTAAACTGAGCGCAGAAACTCAGCTGCTCTTGGGAAAGGTAAATGAGTTTTTCCATTTGCTACTATAGAAGGTGAAATACAAATCATCAAAATACTCATAATAATAAAAGATCTTATTGGCTAAAATTAACAAGCTAATAAAGTGGCCTCTATTTAACTGTGATTTTCTTTCACATATGTATGTGGAGCATCAGTTACAATCTGAGATAAAACAGGTAAGCCAAGCACCCCATGATGGGGGCTCAAACAGCCATTCTTAACATGAACTTGCAATTTTTTCCTTCCTTCCTGTGTGAAACGATGAAGTGAGTGATTCTAATACAACCATGGAGCTTTTTGCCACCTATGTAGTAATTTTTTAATGGCATAAAATGAGCAAACATGTACTTTGTGTACATGTTTCAGAGCACAGAAGTTTTTGCATTGCATGGTTTAAGTGCTGTGCCTGTTATCCCAAAACATACCTTATTCATGATAGGTGAAACTAATTCCAGTGCTCGGAGACTGCCAGATCCTTAAAAGAGCGTTTGAGTCTTCACTTCTGATTATTACCAAGTCAGTGCAAAATACATAGTTGTAAGGTGGTTTAAGATCTGCAAGTATTATGGAATGCAAAAATCAGAATTAAAACCCACTTCAGAATGCAGAGAAATGTTATGAAATAAGCAGAATACAATTTTGGTAAGACCAACTGGGAGATACTGCAGTCTTGTATAAATAGTCACCTGCCAAGTACAAGACTGGAAGTAAATAGCTGAAGAGCAACTTTGTAGCTTGGCTTCACAGCTAATCACAACTTAAAACACACCACCGACACTGTCTATCCCACGGTGTTGGGTTAGACAGCTGGGTGTTACACAGGGCTTGCAAGGTAATATTCTCCCCTGGAAGACCTGGTCCAGCAGTGGACACCACAAGGCAAAAATGAATCGGAATGGAACAAACATGGTGAACAAAAATGTGAAAAATTAATGAGAAAAGACTTAAAAATCTAAACTTGTTTCATCCAAGGTTAAGAATACTGACATGATGATGCAGTTGTTGCAAAAATGAGCTGGTTTCAATGTCTGGGAACAGGACAAGCACTGGTGGACTCAAGTAGGAAAAAGGAAGATATTTAAACACAAGGTAAGCTCTGACAGTCTGACAGTTGGTGTAATGAAATGGCCTGGAAAGGTTATGGAACCTCCATTATACAATGCTATAAAAACCGATTATATGGAAATCGGTTCAGTTAAAGCTGAGTCTGTCTTAGATTAGGGGTAAAACAGCTGGTTTTCCCAAGTCTCTTCTAGCAGTATTCAACTGACTCCTTACAGCAAATCTCTGTTGCCAGGAGCTTACACCACGGGCCTGAGAGCTGTCATAATGTGAACAATCTGACAGGTTCTTGTACTTTTGACCTGTTCAAAGCACAGGGCTCCCAAATACCAACTCGAGATTGTAACACACTGAGCATGAGTATGGTAAAGATAAATTGTTCTGTTTGCTGCTACTGCCACAGCAATGGGTAAATTGCCTCTAACAGAATGTGTGTTACCGTGTGGTTGCATTTTATGCTTTCAAATGTTATGATGTGTAGTATTGTTTTCTCCCTTCATCGTGGTTTGAGCCAGCCAGAGTAACATGCCAGGAAGATTCCCCCCAACAAACACACCACCCACCCACTTGAAACAACAAATCCTGCTGCTATGGCTTCTCAGGTGCAACCAGTTGCTGTGTAGTTTCATAAAATAGGCAAAGCTTACTTAACTATTACATTACACAGAATATAAAGCTCATTTTTCTTTCTAAAAACTTGTATTCTGCAGCAAGATTTTCACTATTTCCATCAAATGACAGAAAAGGTGTTAGTAAATTAAAACAATTATTTTAAAAGATGGGTATGGCCAGGTAAAATAAAATACTGCTTTCCTGCAGCAGTACAGCCTACTGACCAGAAAAAAATCTTTCAGTGTTGGAAGTGCCAAGTACCTTATGAAGCCCTTGAAGGCATAAAAATCGAGGACTTTTCACAAGTTGAGTAACCATAAAGCTGTCTGTAGTCAAAAATACTTTGGAAACTAATAGGAGTAATTACTTAAAATTTCAGTAAATGTCAGTTGTGCCTTGCTTTTAAACCCTAGCTTGCCTCAGTTCTGCAAAAGGTTTTTATAGATTACAGCACAAACCACTCTACAAACTATGCTCTAGAAAAAGCAGGACCAAAAAGTAAATCACAGTATAAGGTTGTTGACAAATGAATTTGTAAAAAGAACAGTTTACACCAAAAGGATCAAAGTCAGAGCCTTTATTAAATGTTCCTTCTTCAAACAGACTGCATTTAATCCCCCTTTCGCATTTGTAGTTTCTAAGGCTATTTTAAATACTTTGTTTTACAGGGATTTTGAGTCTTCAGAACCGTCACAAGCAGCAAGGTAGCAGTACACAAAAACACGATGCTTTCATTGTCACTGAGTTCTATTCCTGCTTCACAGGGTCTGTGGAAAAAGCAACAATACTTCCAGTACTGGAGTTTTTGCACAGACCCTGGAAAGAAAAGAGGTGTCACCAGAGTTGAAGCCTGATGTGCTCTAGCCACATCTCACAATTGGCCAGGATTTATGAGTACTGGTTAGTATTTCTTGTGCATTATCTGTTTCAAAAAGGGGACCAAATTCTCAATTTTCAACTAATGTGGGTCTAATTAAGGCTATTCTGGTGTATTCAATACTAAAATACTCTCTGGGAGTCCTTTTCATGAAACCCCATCAGAATTAACATTTTCAAAAATGAAAACATTTTAAATAGGTGTTTGAGTTGAAATGCTGATGCAGCGGTTGGTTCAGTGTTTTCTTGTCTTACAGAGCTTTATCACGTCAGTATAGTGTCATCTATCTGTTCGTCAGAGTCAGCCTGGCCAGCCAGCTTCTTCAGGGATCTCCTGCAGCTTTCATTGAGAAGCTCCAAGCTGGCAGCATCTAGAATCTTGGAAACTGACTGTGGAAGGAAGACACCACCAATTACCAATTCCTTAGGACACACTGTGCAAAGTAAGAGTAAATGTAAGTGCCTGACACATGTATTTATCTCAAATCTTTCACACATACCCAAGTCCTTCATCTGGTTTTGCAATTCCAGACATGAGGACTATCCAAAAGCTGCTAAGACTTAGAAAAGAGGTCTGGCAGTGGATGTACAATGCAGTCCACCCTAAAATACACTCTAGCACCCCTAGTACTGCAGTAGGATTATACAAGTGATAAAAGCACTAAGCTAGCGGTCTTAGCTAAGGCAGCTACAGCACAGTAAAGGCTTAAGGGCATTTGAAAGCAAGGCTATTATCTTAAACATGGGAGGTATGTTAAATACCTTGATTTTATTAATACTACACTGTAGTAGTAATACTGTAATAAGTATTTTATTAATACTTACAACTGTAAGGTTGTACAGTATCAGTATTGCTTATTTCTCATTGCTGAGCATTAGAACATTGATGAAGGCTTAAGTGCAAACAGGAATGTCGCACTCCATCTACTTCATAAAAGGCTGGCAGCACATTCTGAACACAAGACAACCACATGCAGAGCAACACGACATAGCCTTAAACCAATGATTACATTTCCTTCTGTCTCATACCTCAAGCACTTCTTCACCCGCTCTCATCTTCAGAAGGTTGACAATAGCTTGGTCGCTGTAGGCTCTTACACTGGTGTTTTTGTCCTTTGTGTTGTCCAGGAGCGCTTTGAGAATTGGTTTAATTGTCTGAGGATCCAGTGAAGGAAGATGGTCTTTATTTGCCCACCAAATCATCTTTTCTGCAACTAATTTTATGTCACTGGATGAGTTCTGAAGACACTGAGGGAGACAGAGATGGACTTAAATTCAGATATATCAAGGAGAGGTATTAAAAGCAGTAGATTATCTTTTTTTTTCCTAAGTATTTTAAATTGTACCAAGAAAAGCAAACAGTTTTCAACTCACAGGGACACAAACTTGTTACCCACAAATCTGACTAAACTGTGAAGCAGTAAGAGAAGACCAAACCTTGAAAACAAGACAGCTTTTCAAAAGAAAACTTCTCAAAGTGTGGCTGACAACAGGGTCACGCAGTTCTCAACTGTCTCAGGAAATGACAATGACCACTAAGGGCAGCAACAGCCAAGTCAGTCTCTGGTTGGAGTATAAAGTGCATTTCAACATTTCATATTTAAATAAATAAATAAATATATTGGAGCCTTGTATTTTCTTTATTCTCAACATATTTAAAGCATGAAAGCCAGCATCTGGATGTCAGCTGCATTGTTAATACCACGATAAAGTTATTGTGACAGGTGTGATACTTGTGTTTTATATTTTAATGCAGTGCTATGATACAAATAAATATATAAATGTAGAATTTCAAACCAAAAGTCTCCATCATGTCAACTTGTATGTCTGATAGTGGTTGAGTGAATTGAGAAGGAATGTAACACATCTAGACAGACAAAATACAAAGCAGTTCTGCTCCAGCACTACTTGTCATTCTGTTATCTTTCTTTATCCTTTCTAAGGTGTTAAAAATATCCTGAAGTTCTGATGTTGAAAACTCAGATCCTGTCTACCATGAGAGATGAGGGAGAGGACACACCAAAAAACCAGAACAACCAAGAAAGGAATTTTGAGGTAGAATATTTAAATAAGTATTAATTGAAAAAGGCGTTAACTTCATACTCTCTCTTACCTCAGTCTTTCTGTGCTACTCCCTCACACAGTAATGGAAGTAACAAAAGTACTGAAGCAAAACCAGGCGAGAGTTGGTATTTGATGCATTTCTGACCAAGGCCCTTTGACTTTCAGTAACCATAAAACCCCAGCACCTTCCCCCACTCCTCTGTGCTTCTCTATCAGCTATTTGTTACTGCAAAGTTAAAAATGAATTCATGAGAATCAAACCTGAAGTTTACCACATTTCCACAGTACAGCAGGGACAGCAGCACTGTATTCACAACAGTAAAGCAGGCTAATAAAGGGATTCTATCTGTACTCTGCCACAAAAAGAAATACCTGGACTTTTGGGGATCAGGGGATTTGGAGCTTTCCAAGATAAAGCAACCAAGCTTTCAGTTTTCAAGAAATTGGATAGAGAAATCCACCCGTGAGTTAGCTCAAAGATTGAGACCACGTGAAACAATGCCAGGGAGTTATCATAGAAATTCTTACCTTAATAAAGAGATTGGAAAGTTTTGGAGGCAGGTTCCCTTCTCCTTCCATGTGGTATTTCATAAGAAAACCCATCCCTCTGATGCCACTGACTGCAATGGGAATCTTCAACATAAAGGCAAAACCCGGTATTACTACAGCAGGGTTCAGCAGCCTTTAGCTAGGCTCAGGGTCTGGTAAACTTTGTGGAAGGCTAAACCCATCTCTCATTAAAACTGCAGCATGCAAAGCACTGGGGTTACTGTTATGGGGTAATGTGAAAACATCATCATGTGACTATGAGCTGCATGGAATGAGGTGAGAGGTCCCACGGAGCACCCAAGCCCCCCACACCAAATTACTCATTCAATCCTAGATTTAAAATCCTCCTCCTAAAATGAAATTCATTCTCCTTGTAAACCTGGCCTGTAAATGAGAACTTCAACAGGGAAACAGAAGCGTAATTTACTCCCAATGAAAGCTGCTCTGCAGTTGAAGATCATTTAATTTTCAACTCCAGAGATCAGAAGTCATTTAATTTCCACTCGCCAAGGGACACTCTTCAGACTGGGGATTTTCACTCCATTTGGTAACACACAGAACCTGGCACTCCTTTAAAAACTGCTCCCAACAAGTGCTTGCAACAGGACTGGCCCACTCCCCCATAGCACTTACCCTGTCAGCAGTGGCATTGCTGAGGATCATCTCCTGAACACTGTTGTAGTACTTGGGGGAACACAGCCTGCCAGGAGCAACATTTACAGCCACGGAGAGAGCCAGGCTTCGGCCGTGCCTCACCATCCAGTCAATGCCAGAGACATCTGCTGCAAAAGAACAGCATTATAGCAAGGCTCCTGATATCCCTTCCTCTTTGTCTATCTAAGACAGCTTTTGTCAGCTTGTCAATTCACTTCCATAAAATGAAACCATAAACAGCCTCTAATGCAATGCTTTGCTTCTGCTTGCCCCACAAAGCCAAACACTGCTGAAACACAACCAGACAAGAACACCTTATGGGCAGACAGGGAGACAAGTGACTGTATTGCTCAACCCTGTTACTTCTGATGCTCTCAGTCACCTCTTCGTGCATGAAGGAGTTTGGCACTGGAATTGCACAAGCTTTGACTAATAAAACTGTAGAAGTCATCAGTAATTTGAAACCAGCTCACAGACCCTTTTTAATCCTGCAGGAACAGTAATCCCAAGAGCACTCCCAACCACCATGAGCTTCTGTAAAATTCATGGGGTTTTCTAACTTAAAGGCTCTTGGTTAATTCTCCAAAAGCATGTGAAGCCATCAGATGTGGTCTGCAATTACCAGACGCCAATCTAAGGTCACAGTGTCATCAAAAGAGATGGAATGGCCCTCCCATTCACACTGCCCAAACATCCCACCAACCCCATCCACTCCACGTCAGCACTAGCAATGACTCAGCCATGACCAACTTTCATCAACTCATCTGAAAACAAATCCAGAAGACAGAAGTACTGGTAATCCCAAATTAGAGCCACTACCCCGTGCTCAACAGTGTTCATGAATCAACAGCCATGAGCACAGAAAAGCACAAGAAAATCTAGAGATTCAGGTTTAGGGTGAAGAGGAAGAACCTAAACAATACATTACAAAGTCTCCCTGAACCAACGGCTGAGAAGGTATCTCTCCTTGCTTCCACACCAGTTCCAGTTACTCTAAACAGCTTCACCTACCCAGTAAGTGCTGGTGGAGAACAGTACTGAGCTCCTCTTCCGACAGGAATGCGCACAGTTCTGCCAAGCAGCCAGCTGAGGCCATGCGGGTGGCGTCCTGACAAGGGAAGGAGAAGAGGACACCAGCTGAGCTCAATACACATCAGAGACAGCAGCAAGAGGAGCAAGTGACAGAAGGTGACACAAAATAGAAAGAGATGGAGGAAATAAGCATTTCCCTCCTGCGACCTGTGGATGTCACAAGGGGTTTTGTACATAATGGAACTTAAAGCCAAAAGCCAAAGGACCAGCAGAGACTGAAGATTTACAGACCTCACAATAAATCCTGATTTATTAAATGGGAGAGGCAGAAATATGAAAGTGAATGTTTTAAAAGACATGCTCACAAGAGGTACATTAAGACTCAGTGTCTAGAAAGGAAACCTTACTCAGGAAGCATCTCTAAATGAACTTCCCTCTATGACAGACTCATACTACTTCTGATTTAAAACCTCCAGGCTTTTGTTGTTTTGGCTTATGTGCCCATCCCATCACTGGTTACTCCTCTCCAGCCCAAAACTTACAACCCAGTGGGAATCTTTCAGTTCTTCTATTTCTGGTATGTCAACAGTTGCGTGTCTTTGTTGTGCAGATTAAGATACAAGGCAGAAATTACTAGGTAATTTTAATCTTACAGATGATCCTGTTGCTATCTGCTGTACACAGAAGACCCTACATTAAACTTGGAGAGCTTCCTGCTCACTGGAGAAAACTCTGCCATTATCTGAAAAACTGCTAATGGTAAATGGAGAACTGTACCTGGGAGCCTACACACACACAGAGGTATCGCACATACTGCAAGCTTTCTCCAAGATAAAAGGCAAATCCTGACTCCAGAGCTGCCTCAAACACGTTAGTGAAGAGCCGCAGGTCAAACTCACATCCACAGTTGCTAAGGAAACATTAAACTCATGGATTTTCCAAGTTACCAGTGACTGGCCAGGGATCTCTAATTCTTGCACCTGACACACAGCACACTATAAGGCTCCAACAAGATCAGTTTTGCAGACCACATTCAGTTTAGCGACATCCAACCACATGCTTCTTTAGACAAGCTTCTTTCTGCTCTGTCATTAGTTATTTCCCCAGCAGTTAGTTTAGAACATAATTCCGTTTGAAAGTTCTGATTTTATATTAGGATAAGACTGTCTAGAGCAGGGATCCTTTGCAGCTGGCTGAAGCAGTACCTCATCATGTCCCAGCATCCCTAGAAGCACCATGCTGATATTCTTCCTAATGGCAGCATCTACTTTTGCACCAGCTCCTCGTGTTACAAACCGCAGCGCTTGCAGCATTGTGTCCCTAGAAGTGATCACAACATACAGTCAGACACTGCCTCTCCCCTTCCACAATGGAGAAACTGAGCTCTGGATACCTGCAGCAGTTTCGTACACATCAATAACATGTGTGTCCCCTACATAAGGACATGGACTTCTTGGAACAAGTCCAGAGGAGGCCATGGAGATGCTGTGAGGGCTGGAGCAGCTCTGCTCTGGAGCCAGGCTGAGAGAGCTGGACTGGGTCAGCCTGGAGAAGAGAAGGCTCCTGAAGGGGAGGTCTTAGAGCAGCTCCAGTGCCTAAAGGGGCTGCAGGAAACCTGGAGAGGGGCTTGGGACAAGGGCCTGTAGGGACAGGCCAAGGGGAATGGCTTGAACCTGCCAGAGGGGAGACTGAGATGAGCTCTTAGGCAGAAGCTCTTCCCTGTGAGGGTGCTGAGGCGCTGGCACAGGGTGCCCAGAGAAGCTGTGGCTGCCCCATCCCTGGCAGTGCTCAAGGCCAGGTTGGACACAGGGGCTTGGAGCAAGCTGCTCCAGTGGAAGGGGTCCCTGCCTATGGCAGGGGTTGGAAATGGATGAACTTTAAGATTCCTTCCAACCCCAACCAGGCCATGATTCTATGAATTATGCCAATACACCTTAGGGTTCAGGAGGGAGATACCCCGCTCTGCACTCCTGACAACTCCATGCTACAGAATATTCCCATGCTTGTGTACTTGTGTCTGTTACAATGTAAGTATTTTCTGATTATTCAAACATTAATTCTCAAATCAAGAAGTTGATTTAATTAATTCTCAGGGATCTGTGTGCTCAGGATACCAGAACAGCAGCGTTACTTCAGGCCAGACTGACAACTGATGCAGTCTTGTATTTGAAGAGGTTGCTGGGGGTGTGCAGGAGAGAAGTGGGCAGAAACCAAGCAATGTTTCCCTTGTACACTGTCACAGCTGAGCTTCTGACCCAGAAGTCCCTATCACCCACATTCTCTGTTCTACAACCCTTGATGAGAAGTCACCTGCTTTCACTAGTAAGTAAATCTTACTCTTGGCATTGGGATGGTTTGTTCATTCATCTCAGCCTTTTCTCCCATCCTTAATAAGGAAGGGCTGATCCTCAGCAGGAAGGGCTGAGAGATCACCTGCTGCTTACCTGATGGCAGAGTCATCACTGGACCGAATTCCATTCAGTAGCTCTGTAAAGAGGGGATCCACTTTTACATGGATGACAATGAGTTTACCAAGAGCGTCGGCAGCTTTAAGGCGAACAGCACGGTTCGAGTCTTGTAGAGCTTTGGTGAAGGTTGTTTGCAACTGGGGCAAAAATGGTTTCAGGGCAATCTCAACCTACAGAGAGAAGGAAGGGAAAGTTGCATGGTCAAGTTTGGATCAGTGGCTAGAAATCAAACCCTGAAAACAGCACAACCTCTTCTAATAGTTATTACAGATAGTCCTACAGATCCAACAGCCCAGTAAAACGGGAAAACCATGGAACACCACCACAGAACTCATCTTTTCCAATGTAATTTTCTGCATACCGAAATACAAGGGTAAGGTTGATGAAAAATTTTACACTATCAGGATCAGCCTTTTTCAATCAGAGCACTGAATAAAAGTTCAGTTCAAAGATATGTAACGTGATTGTCTCTGCACTTAATTCATAAGAATGGTGGGCACAGGAGAGATTTATTACATGGCAGTTTTTAATCGCTCAAAAATGGGATCAGCATTTAGCAGTATTCCTAAGCAGCCCAGTGATTCAGCACTGAGAGCTTTTTCTGGTAGGCCAGAAGATGCTGGAAGAATATAATCCAGTTAGAGCGCCATTCCTAAGCACCAAATCCACACCAGCACATCCTAGCTGTGTTTACATGAACAGCAACAGGTATTGCTAAAGGCTACCATGGAAAACATTCACAAGCCACAGTCAATTACTTTGAATCTTACCTTAGCTAAAAGAAGGCTTAATGTTTCAAGTAAAGCCACCTTGACATTCCAGCTGAACCGATCTCCCAAGATGCGAATAAGTGGCCCAGTAATGCTCACCACAGATGGCTTAAGAGCTTCAGCAGAAGTCAGTTTAATAACCAGCCCTAAGGCCTTTGCTGCCTCCTCCTTCTGATCTGGATTACCAGTTAAAACACCTTCCCGCAGCACCAGGAGTATGGAAGTCACTCCCTGTCACGAAAATCAGATAAGAAAGCTTAGAAGCTAAGTTGTAGAATGATATGTGTCTTATTTTTGCTCCTGTTATACACCAGATGCACAAGCTCCGAGAGTTTCTCTCCATTTCCTGTTGACCTTCAGCTGCCTGCTTCCACACTTACAGAGCTACTTTTATTTGGTTTGATTTCATGCGTCTACGCCTTACTAAGCCAGTTGCTATGAGGAAAGTGGTGGCAGCTCAGGGAATTTTTAAACCAGAGAAGCTTGGCACAGAAGCCCAGCATTCCTCCCCCACAAGTCGCAGCCAGCGACCACGACTTACATGCAGACCAGAACTGTCAAAGATCTTGTTACAAGAGGAGTCTTCTGCAGGGTAACTCAAGAGCAGCAGTACCCTACAAAAAGCCTCTCCAACATACAGCTCTGGAATGCCCAAATAATCACTGCTTCTACTAGCTGTAAAGTCACATCTATCAGCTCCCTCAAAAGGTAGGAGATTGTGGCTGGCACAAATCCATGCTCATTCTCATCCTTTACCTTCTTAGGAATACAGAATCCTGGCACATGCTCGCCTTTGGCCTCATTCCCTACAATCCGGATATCCTTATGCAGGTCTTCAATGAGAGCAAGCTGGTTCCCAGCATCTAATTTCTGCAGGAGAGAGGGGCAAGACATAGAAGAGACAACATGGCAACCAGCTTTTCCCTGTGCATAGTGTGACAAGAGAAGATACCCATTCCCTGCCTCCTTGCTCACAAAGCTGAAGCTAAGCTCATCATACAACATTTGCAAATGTAAATGTAGTTTATAATGCAAACAGAAGGTCCAATTTATGCAGCGTTTTACCAGCTATCCCCATTTTCTCCTTGCCAGGCATTACCACTGCAATCTTCTTAAGCTGCCTCTCACCTTGGTGATGGAATTGAGTGCATCCCAGCTCTCATTCAGAACTACATGGTTGGTGTCATTAAACAGCCGTATCAAGCCTGAAACCAAGCTCTTGAGGTGACCAGTATAGTCTGCTTTTGTCTTGGAGCAGTAGATATTCAGCATGACAGCTGCTGCCTGTCTCATTCCCAGCTCAGGGCTGCGGGTAGCTTCTAGCAAATCTTCAGTTATGATTCTTTGTCCAGCATCATCTTCCACAGACAGGATTACAGACTGGCAGTTTGCCATCTCCTAAAGAGCCCAAATTAATTTTACATTAACTCTCAAATAGAACAAAGCCAGATTTAGCCCCAGGTTTCCCCACATTATCCACAGCATTATCTTTCCAGAGAAATATTACTAATTGTTTCTCATTAAAGAGCTGGTCACATCACCATAAAAGGCTCGAATGAGTCCTGTAGCAGGGACAGGTTTATAACCAACCCTCACAACGTAACCAACTCTGCTGAACCGACTGCTGCACAGGACACTCTCCAGCTGCAGAAGGGCTCATTTACAGGAAGCAGAGGAGCTCAGCCTGCCCCATTTTACTCACCCATCAGACTGTGGGCCTTGTCAGAGAACATTGCTTTGATTTGGGTAGTTTAATGCTCTGTGTCACAGTACGAATAAGAAACACATCTGTGGCTATGTCAGAGATCTCCAGGCAGCCTTGGGGCTAGAAGCTAATCTAATGGGCATCTACAACAGACACCAACTTATGTACATGCCTATCCACAATCACAACTCCAGAATGTCCTCTGGAGTTCAAATATGAGATGTTTCAGAGAGCAGTGCAGCAGCAAAAGAGATTTCCTCCCTTCAGCCCTTTAATCTCTCAGTCTTCTATACCAAGAATAAACAGAAAGTTAACTAGACACTCTGGCAGTTCTCCAACAATAAGTAGACTGAGAATTGTATCCTGTTGCAGGCCAAAGAGACTTTTCTATGGATACAAATAGATTTGGAAAGCATACGTTTTTCAGTTCACAATATGCTACCAGGCAAAAAGACTCATCCTGAAGAAGTAATGGGCCGAAATAAAACATGCAATCTGTGAATCTAGAGAACACAGATTCTGTGTTGGGAAGTCAACCCAAAGCACTACTGTCAGACAACCTGTCGTATCAAAGAGCTGAGCCATGCTACTTGCCAATTGCTCTTCACTGGTCCCCAGCTTCTCTTTGAGCGCAGACATCATAGCAGGCAGGATGACACTCAGGTGCCGTGTCAGAGCATCCCCTGCCACTGATGAGAGGAAAGCCAGCACGCGGGTGTTCACAGGGGGAGTCGTCAGCTAAATGAACAAAAGCAGATGAGACAAGCAGAGAGGTTCTTCAGAAGGAATCTCTCTTCATTTATCTCATGAGAAACTTAAGCAGCCCAACCCCAATGAAATGTTTGCAGCATAAAATCACAGGAACATTTCAAACTACGCTCTTCCTTTTGGCAGATCGAGTCTAAAGAAAACTGGCAGCAAGCAGAGGGAAAAGCACAGTTCTGAAGTTTAGAATTTGCTTCCAGCTGTACCTTCGGCACCAAATAAGGCAGCACCACTCGGCTCTTGACAGCCATAACTTGTTTAAGACCGTCCACAGCAAAGTCAGATGTCTCTTCATTATCCTAGGGGGAAAGAGAAGGAAACCTGAGAGGTGATTTGTGACACACTAAGCTAAACCCTAATTTCAAGTGACAGTTTACCATGTGATCACATAACCAACACACAAAATGCTCCTATTATCTAGCAAAAACACAAACCTAGCTCTTCTGTCACATCAGAAAGATTTCAGGCAGAGTGGCCAAGCAACTGAAACAGGCAGTAATGACAATTCCATAGCAGAGCCAGATACAGCAATTCTTAGGCCTATGCTTTAGCTGCAAGACCTTCCCCTACCAATGGTTAGGGCAACTGCAAGGAAGAGGCAAAACAGAGCTGCCATTCCCAGGTCTGCCCCTATAATCCTGCTTCTCCTTTAACGTAACTATGCAAAACCTGTCCCACAGCATCACTGATCAAGTTGTTGCCTGATGCTGAGCAATGCTCACCAGCTGCTTCAGCAAAAATGGCAGGATGTCTTCAAGAGCCTGGTGTCCAATTGTTGAGTGCAACTGTTCAAACGTTTTAGCTGCAGCCTCTCGGACTTCTTCCAGAGGGTCACACAGTGCTTTCCTCACTGTAGGAACGAGGGACTCGGAGAAGAGCAGTACCTAAAGATGCAGAGATACAGTTACAGGATGTCTAAAGCACAGACACGCATCTCAGTACAGCAGCCAAGAAGGCAGAATTTGCACAACTGAAACTAAACTGCAGTTTGCTTGCAGGATTAATCAACACAAATAGCTGCAGTGCTCCAAGGCTATCTAGTGATGATTATGATTATGACATCTCATAATGTTCTAAGTCTATTGACAGATACAAAGGCATACATTTGCCTGAACAACAACTCATGTTAGCTATATGTTAGCTGATTTCAGTTCATAAAAAAATCCAGCACTTGCTGTGCAAATCTGTCTCAATTGCAATACCTGCATCAGAACATAAATACCTAGGAAAGTGGAGATTGCACCTTCCACATACAACTTACCGCATCCCTGCTGGTAGATTTCATTATCTCACTCAACCCAATGCAGACTCCTTGCCTCTCATCACTCTTGTCTGACCTCAGTCCATCCTCCAGGATAGGAATGATTTCAGGCAGGATCTTCTCTCCTAGCTTTCGGACAAGGTCTCCTAATGTCCGCGCTGCAACCTGTACCCAAAAGTGTATAAATTAACTATTTTCCTGTTTTATAAAACTTAAAAAGGTGAACTGCGAGCAAATGTTAACTTTTTACCATAAACTACTGTCCAAAGCACACACAGAGTAGCAGGAATGAAAACATTACTATTATGAAATGACCACAGTTTTACTGTCATCACGGTTGCCTTCAGCAAAGA